CCCCAAAACCCCAAAACCCCAAAACCCCAAAACCCCAAGATGTAAACCTACAACTGAAATTACATCAACTGTTTATGCACCTAATAGAAACATATGAATGAGCAAGTTACTTTCGTACCCAATCCTTCTTTAGATTTTAGGGATATTTTTCCTCCTAATTTCTCACAAAGCTTCTTTCAGATAGTAAGTCCCAGTCCCGTACCTGTCTGGTTCCTATTGTGATTTGATCGGGTCTTGCCAAATACCTTAAATAAAGAAGGTAAGTCTCATTCAGGGATCCCAATGCCAGTATCGGTCACACTGAGCTCTACCTTGAGTTCTTTCGTAAACTCTGAGGATAATGAATCATCTCCTTCTCTTTGGCATATTCTCCCAGTTGTTTTATCTCCACGACAAGGATCAATAGCCATTCGATCAAATCTTGATGGTTGAGCTTTGAACTGGTAGTTATTTGACCCAAAAAGAATATTTCATACTGAGATTTCGTCTAGTAACTCAGAAGGCAGAGTGATTGACATATCACCTAAAAGTTATTATCAAAATACTATTCTCTAATGTTTCTCTCCTGATTCTTTGAAGTCTCTGTATTTTCAATTCAACATTGATGAACCCTCTGTCTGTGAACTTCAGAGAATTCGACAATAAGTTCAGCAGAATCTGTTTGAGCCTCTGCTTGTCTGATTTCACAACGAGGTCTGCGAGCATGTCTTCCATTTGGAAGTTCAGGCTTATCCCTTTCATCTGGGTCTGCATCTCAAAGATGGACTTGGCTTCGTCAAAGAGTTGGCTGAAAGTGAACTCAGACTCCTGCACTTCGAAAACTCCAGCCTCGATCTTGGAGAAATCCAAAATATCTTCGACAAGTCCTTTCAGAATGTCTCACGATGAAGTCGCGATCATATGGAACTTCGACAAGTCTTCATTGATGTAAGGCTTCATCAGGAGCAGCGACAGAGACATCGCGTTGAGTGGAGTCCTGAACTCGTGTGACACATTGGAGAGCATTTGGCGCTGGTAGTTACTCTGGGCCTTGGCTTCTTCTAGTTGTATAATCTGAGTGGTGTCGATAAACATATGATTAAAATGTAGGTTTACTATCACGAACTTCCGTCATGTTAATTTTAGCCGTCTTCACAACAAAATCTCTCTTTAAGAATTCCACTTCTCTTCAAATATGCTTTTTAGAGTATGATATAGACACTTTAGTGCTTCTTTCATTATCTATGTCATCCTGTCACAACTTTCTCTCATCGTTGAGGAAGAGTGGTAACGGCATCTCTTGATACTGTCTTATTTGAACATCAGGATCATTTCCTTTTCCTTCTTCAACTCTATCCTTACTGATCTTGATTATGAAATGGTTGAAGATATTCTCCAAGTATTTCTTATTGTCTTTCAAGTCTGTACCACCAGCATTCTTCTTGGAATAAATCTTATCAAACGATTCGTTGATTTCATCTTGTACTCTGGATAGCTCGATGCTTTCTTTTTGACTCTTGTAGAATAGTGATAGATTAAAAGTTTGCTTTAGTTTCTTATTGATTAACTTAAGTTGACCACCTTGCTCATCCATAATAACTACGCCTTCTGGTAGCCCCTTTAGAATCTTCTTTAATTGTGATGAAGCCTGCTTCGCTTTATGTGATGATAAGAATTCCTGTTTATAATTTCTAGAAATAAGAAAAGCATTGAAGCAAAAAGCAGTTCAGGAAAATATCAGTGCTAATAAGACTGAGTTTGGCATCTGGTCATAAAATGTCTTTAGCATGATACAAAGATTAGAGTAGACCATCAGTATAGCAACGGATGATATTCTCCAGTCTGATAATAGTCATGTCGATAGCAGAAATGAGACTGAAATATGAAACAAGAATCCTTCATAAAGTCTATGTAGTGTTAGAGGAAAGAAGGTTTCATGAAAGTAGTAACCCTCTTAGATTACATGGAGACGACAAAAATCATTGATGAGGGTATAAGGCAAAGTCACTATGAAAATAAAGCTTTAATGGCACTAAAATAAGAAAATGATATTTCAAATAAAATATAGAAAAGTAAACGATTGCTGGCTCACCTAAATTGTATTACTTCAAGGTTTATGTTTGTCATGAATCACCCAAATCAGAAGATATAGAAGATTGACCCATACCTTGCTACAAAATCGTTTGTGTAGATAAAGTACTTCAGCACAAATAGAAGAAAGAACATCGTGACTGGGGTAAATTTCTCAAAGTTTGAGACATACTCCTGCTGAAATTGGAAACAAGCGGCGATGACCAAAAATTTGAGTTTTAATACTAACAGGATAAACCTCCAATTGGCTTTAATAGTTTTCAATCTATGCTTCTGGAACATCTGTTCTGTCTCCTCGTCTCCAAAATCAATATCTTCGAAGACCCAATAAGTCTTGAGCTCTTGCCAGACCCAGTTGTGCAGCAAAGAGTGTGCTCAGTAGTCGAAGAGAGATGTTCCAGCCACATGATCTTCATTACGGTTTATCATTTATTTATAAATATTTTATATTTCTAATCCATCCAATTTCTTATGAGAAATGAGGGGTTTTGGGGTTTTGGGGTTTTGGGG